ACCGTAAAACTGGTTGCCGACACCTTGCTCTTATGGATTGACAGACTCCTCGGTTTCTGCGGTTTGAACTGCATTCCGCTCCATTGGACCACCGCGTCCAATCTTTTCAGGATCGTGCAGACAGACTCCTCGCTGCCCGTTATAATAGTCGTGTCATCCATAAATGCGCGTAGTGGCGGCATCCAGTAGTCCCCAATTTGAAGGCCCTGTCCGTAGCCGGCCGCCCCGTCTAACATGATCTGCATTGCCATGACAAACAGTATGGGTGAGATAGTACAGCCCATAGCTATCCCAATCTGCAACTCAGTCCACCTCGTGGTAAACGTCGAGGTAGAGAAGCGCAAAGCGAACTTAGAGAAATATTGCTCGATCATTTGATTGATCTGTGCCGGTACGTGAAACATGCGAAGGTCTCGCCACAGTAGCCTATGGGGGACTGCCCCGTAGGCGTTGGCTAAGTCCAACCATATTACGTGCAATTGTGTTCTCTCATGCTTGGCTCTCTGGATAGCCTCCCAAATCATGGTCGCTTGTTCAAGGCACCCAGGAACGCCTGGAATACCACCCTTCTGAACACTCGTATCTATGTACTTGTTAGCCATCAGATACTGTGTGAGCCGGCGAGCCATGACCGAGAAGAATATCTTACCCTCGACATTCAACAGCGACATGGGCCTGAATTGGGAAAGACTCTTCGAGTCCTGCTCTTTGGGAATGTAGACCCCATTTGCCTTTGACCACTCTGGACATATGTGATTACAGATCCACGCTTGTCTCAACAAGACGTGAAGCATTTTTAGGATTTTCGGGCAGCGCTTGTAAAAAACGTACGGGACACCGTTCGGACCTGGGGCAGACTTGCCGCTGGCCTTTTTCACAACTTCCTCAACCTCAGACCAAAGGGGAGGTATCATTTTAAATGGTACCTTCGGCACCGAAGGCTGTTTGAGGCCGCTAAGGATCTCTGGATTGTCATCGAGAGGCTCTCTCTTCTTTTTGTCAGAGTACATCTTGCGTAGATGTAACTCAAGCTCTTCCTGACTGACAATCAGAGTCCCAGACTTCGGTTGCTCGAATAGACCACGGGCAAACTGATACGGGTCCCTAAAGAATTTCTCTCGCTCCCTTTTGGTTCTCCGTCTGTTGTTTCAGAAACGCTCGGCGCGACAGAGGGCACTGTTTCTGTTCTTTAAATGCAACCAGACTTCATACAGCCCCTCCCGTTCGCTGCCTGTAGCGGCTTTGAACAGTTTTCTGAGGGCATTCTTGTGTGAACATGGCGGTTGAAATTTGTTGATGTGTACAAGATCCATGTGTGAACCTGGGGGTTTAAGGTCGTTGGTGTGTACAGGATCCAGTGGTAAAGCTCCTGACTCTGACTCAATCCCTGCAGAGATTTACAAAGCTGGCGGAAAAGCCCTGATAGAAACTTCTTGTGATTTGTTAGCATATTTGGCAGACTAAACTCGTTCCACAAGAACGCAAGGACGCATCAATAATACACCTCTACAAGCGGAAAGGGAATCGCCAGGATTGCAACAATCACTGTGGCATATCCCTGCTATCAATCGCAAGGAAAATATCTGTAATAATTCTTCTAAATCGTCTTACAACACACCTTAATGGAGGCCTGCTACCTGCACGTCTACATCTGTGGTCTCACTCCAGTCTGTGTCCGTAATCCTACTCTAATCTGTGTATGTGGTCTCACTCGAGTCTGTGGTCCCACTCCAGTCTATGTCTGTGGTCCCACTCCAGTCTATGTCTGTGGTCACACGCCAGTCTATGGCTGGCTGTGGTCCCACTCCAGTCTATGTCTCTGGTCCCACTCTAGTCAGGGTTTATGTCGTGGTCCAGGGGCTAGCACATTAGACTGCCCACCCGGAGGCAAGTGGTTGAAACGTTCGAATATCGGTTTGACAAAACGTAGCAGTCATTGAACCGGTCATGTTTTATGCAGAACTATGCAACACATCATAGTCACAACATGGGTCAACATCATCAAGTGCCTTGCTGACTGGCGTGGTCGATCATGCCTCTCCACAATGTGTGGTCTTTATCTGCGTGTATTAGTTGACGTGTTGGAACTCCTCCATGCAATGACAACGAGAATCGTGTCGCGTTGCCTTCCCTCGTCACTTGTTCCTGTTTCCTTCTTCTTATAACATGACCCACAAATTATGACTGCCTCGTGCTGCTGTTTGTGATAAGTTATCTGATTTGAAAAAAGGGGGGGGGGTAGGGGGCTGCAGAATTATTATACACAGCAAAGTGAGAACACAAGGGCCCACAGCGGAATGATACACCACAGCGGAATGATACACCACAGCGGAATGTTACACCACATCGGACTGATACACCACATCGGAATGTTACACCACATCGGAATGATACACCACAGCGGAATGATACGCCACAGCGGAATGATACACCACAGCGGAATGATACACCACAGCGGAATGATACACCACAGCGGAATGTTACACCACAGCGGAATAATACACCACAGCGGAATGATACACCACAACGGAATGATACACCACAGCACGATGATGTCAAAGAAGAAAAAAGGGGGGAGGGGGCAACAGCAGCTGGCTGAAATGTTTAAATCATCTTCTTCTTCTTCGCATTCACCAGCTGTACATTCTGGCGTAAAGTTCTGGTTGCTCGTCCACTACTGAACTGCAGTCCTGCTCCAGAACCTGAGTGTTGCGTGTGCATCAGTTTTACAGATCTCCGGCAGATGCACTCCGACTTCAAAGGAAGCTCCCCAATTAGTCGACTCTTACGACATGCTTTTGGGGAGGCAGTGGGTCTATTCTTGTTTTCCCCTACAATGGGGCCCCGGATCCCACACGGGGGTTAAATCATCTATCATAATGGCTCTCCTTCGAACTTCTACCCCCGCCCCCCCCCCCCCCGCAGTATTGCGGCCTGAAATATCCGTTCGGGGCGCAGTCCAATGAAAAATATGCCGTCTCCTTATAACGAAACAAATGCTCTAACAGGGTCTCAGCGATATGGTACTTGCGGACCTGTTTCTTATAGTTTCTGATTATCTGACAGTTCTAAGAGACGCAACACTGCAGACGATAGTAGCGACCGTTGACACTTTCCAATGTCGGATTTTCTGCCGACGAACAAATCACGGCAAATCTAGGATCGGCTCGGAAAAACGAAACAAAAGCTCTAACAGGCTCTCAGCGAAATGTTACGTGCGGACCTGTTTTTGTGACTATGGCTCACCGCCGAGTGTATCCCCCGCGCGGATAGGGGCTAAACTAGATGGCTGGGACTCACGAGCGACAGCTACCGCATCTCATGCAACTTCCTCCAATTACTTTGCTCGTGAGTCCCAGGCACCTAGTTTAGCCCCCAATGCACGCCGCGCGTAGCTCGGTGGTGAGTTTAATTGCGTTTTGCGCATGCCGACAAGTCTGACATCTACCGCTGCTTAATCCTCAATCAGAAGAACAGTATTGCTAATATGTGTGGCAGCGCGTAGTCTACCCGCCATATCGCTTTCATCGTCTGTAATGACTCGAAACTGTCAACGGTGGCTTTTATCGTCTGCTAGTATCGTCTGCAGAAAACGCTCGACATTGTCACCGGTCGCTTTTATCGTCTGCTACTATCGTCTGCAATGTTGCGTCTCGTGACATTGTAAGGTACTCCTAGTTTTGCCGCAATTTGTTCTCGGCGGGAACTCCGACAAGTCCGTATTTTAAATTGGACTGCGCCCCGAACGGATATTTCAGGCCGCAATACTGCGGGGGTAGAAGTTTGGAGAATATATAATCATAGTATCCTTGTCGACGTTAGTCGATGAGATGGCAACCAGTGTAAGGCCATATTATAAAACCGTATTAAGGCTATATAAATAAAATATTGCATAACACTATCAACTATTAGTATTTAGGAATTATATAGATCAGTTGGCAAAAGTTTACAAAAAAAAGTAAAGGACCCTTTTCCAGGTCTTTCAGGCGTATTGGGTTTGTAAGTCTAGCCTATATTTTATGGACCAAGCGGCCCTTGGTGGTGATGTGGTCAGCATCACGCCGGTCGCCTTTACTTCCCAGGACTGAACCTGGTACACACTCAAGGCTAGGAAACCAAGATAATTTTAGATCAATTAAGGTAATCTGTAATTAAATAACTATATTTACAGGTCATAGTGTGCACTTAAGTGGTGTTTTTATTGGTGTGTAATAGTATTTGTCATCAGTTCAATCACGATTTGAATTATTAAATGTTTAAAAAAGCGGTTAGCTTCACAAACATTGTTTGTTTTTGATTAAATGACATCAGCCCAAAATTGTTTCGTTCATGCTATCCGCGAAGTTTTGTTTCGTGTGTGCGTGGTTGCAATTTTAACTGGACAGGAAGCGGAACTGATGTCACCTGGGCGGAGCAGACTAAATATAACCTGTTGTTGTTGCCGTCTCTGGTGCAATCTTCCTTCTAGTTGGGTCACTGCGATAGCCAGTTTATCTGAGACTTCAGATCTGCAGCACTTGGCACTTGCTGTCTGTGGTGCAATCTTTCTTCTAACGACCTTTTATAAAAGGGACAGCAGGTTCACTCCAGACCACGTCTAGTTCTGCAGCAGCTGCTGCGTGCAGCACACAGTCAGTGGTCAGCTGTCTGTCCTATTTAGTATTTTCGGTCTAATCTTCACGTCACTCACCGACCATATTCAGTTTAGACTAGCAGTAGTAACCAGGAAGCAACCAGTACAGGAACAAGTTCACCAGTATTGTTGGCGTCATTATTTTGTTGATACCTTGTTGCACTCGTTCTGTAACTTCAACCAGTGGTTGATTGTTACAATTGAATCAGACGTGAGCAGACCCTGCTTCATTGCTAGTAGTTCGGTGGAGACGTCCTCCCACAACTCATCCGACATCACCGACCAGGTGTCTTCTGAAGTAGCACGACAAGCAGACTTGGAGGTGACTGACACCCAGTCCATAACCAGCAGTAGTCGTCGCTGTCTAATGTCAGTTCCTGTCTGTAGATTTTATCAAAGTCAGACCTGCAGATTTGGAAAGAACTGTAGATACTTACATCCTTCAAGTCAGCGTCCTCCTCCACAGCTAGAGTTGAAGCAAGATCCAGATGGAAGTTTAACCTATGACCCAACTAACTCTGTTGCAGCACTAACTTTGTATGATCATCACTCCAGTGATCAACATGAGGACACATTAAGTCAGAGAACTGCCAGAGAAGCTCAGAGTTCACAAGATTCCCAGGGAACTGCACCAGAGAAACATGGAGTTCATCCCATAAATGCAAACAGACCGGTTAATAGAAACATTTGCCACTATTTTCAAACATATGGCAACTGTCGTCATGGAAACGAATGCAGATTTCTTCATGTGTTGTCAAACAGACATGAGGGGTACAGTCACGGATCATCTAGAAGGCAGGGTGGCCTTAGAAATGTCGCAGAAATTCCTCCACGGTTCAGGAAAAATGGAGAAGAGCTAGTTGCCAGTAAGAGAGCAGCCACTGTAGAAGTTGTTGCTGAAGATGTGAAAACACAGGAACATACACACGATACTGGGAGACCCCACCGAGAGTGGGGAAGGGCAAGTCAGGACACTGAGGTGAGAGTGTGCCCTTATTTCAGACGTGGACATTGTAACCGAGGTGAATACTGTCGGTTTGTACACTCTCATGATCATGTGGAGGAGGAGAAGTTTGCCTCGACAAATCACGAGTTTAATAAAACACAGACAGATGGCAAACACAGCACCAACCCCAGGAGAGTGAGTATAACAATATCTGATGTACGAGCGCAGCCCCAAAACACAAGGAAAACCATCAGCAGCTCCATCATTCGGCCGGTGATCATCAAACAAAAGTTTACCTACGCTGAGCTGGACAACATTGACCTGGTTAAAGTTCGAGACTCAGAAATCAGCACGATCAAGAAAAGATTTCCCCGGGATAAGATAAACATCATAGAGGAGACACAGGACAAGTTCTGTGCCAGGATTTTGTTTTCACCCACAGATCCCGACTGGGTGAGTGTGATACTGTTGTTACCTGCTGCCTGTTTGTACAGATAATTGCTTACAATTGTCACTTACAGTTTCACATACATACAAACAAACATACATGTGAGGGCTATATATCTTCTATGCAAGCAGTCCACGTGAAATTTTCATCATATATATAATCAGTATGTGGGTGTATGCCCTTATTTTGCCATGGTCTCTCCATTGTGAGACTGCCCCCAGTGACATTCAAATGGTAAGTTTTGTTGAAAGTTCTCCATTGTGAGGCTGTCCCCAGTGACATTCAAGTGGTCAGATTTGTCAAAAGTTCTCCATTGTGAGACTGCCCCCATTGACATTTAGATGGTTAGATTTGTCAAAAGTTCTCCATTGTAAGACTGTCCCTAGTGACATTCGAATGGTCAGATTTGTCAAAAGTTCTCCATTGTGAGACTGTCCCCAGTGACATTCAAATGGTCAGTTTTGTCAAAAGTTCTCCATTGTGAGGCTGTCCCCAGTGACATTCAAGTGGTCAGATTTGTCAAAAGTTCTCCATTGTGAGACTGCCCCCAGTGACATTCAGATGGTCAGTTTTGTTGAAAGTTCTCCATTGTGAGGCTGTCCCCAGTGACATTCAAGTGGTCAGATTTGTCAAAAGTTCTCCATTGTGAGACTGCCCCCAGTGACATTTAGATGGTTAGATTTGTCAAAAGTTCTCCATTGTAAGACTGTCCCTAGTGACATTCGAATGGTCAGATTTGTCAAAAGTTCTCCATTGTGAGACTGTCCCCAGTGACATTCAAATGGTCAGTTTTGTCAAAAGTTCTCCATTGTGAGGCTGTCCCCAGTGACATTCAAGTGGTCAGATTTGTCAAAAGTTCTCCATTGTGAGACTGCCCCCAGTGACATTTAGATGGTTAGATTTGTCAAAAGTTCTCCATTGTGAGGCTGTCCCTAGTGACATTCGAATGGTCAGATTTGTGAAAAGTTCTCCATTGTGAGACTGTCCCCAGTGACATTCAAATGGTCAGTTTTGTCAAAAGTTCTCCATTGTGAGGCTGCCCCCAGCGACATTCAGGTGGTCAGTTTTGTTAAAAGTTCTCCATTGTGAGACTGTCCCCAGTGACATTCAAATGGTCAGATTTGTCAAAAGTTCTCCATTGTGAGACTCTCCTGTTATTAATTGTTCACCTGTTTTGTTTAGTGTCTTGATGTTCATGTGTGTGTGTGTCATCCACAGGCATTTGATGTTCATGTGTGTGTGTGTCGTCCACAGGCATTTGATGTCCGTGTGTGCGTGTGTGTCTTCCACAGGCATTTGATGTTCATGTGTGTGTGTGTCGTCCACAGGCATTTGATGTCCGTGTGTGCGTGTGTGTCGTCCACAGGCATTTGATGTTCATGTGTGTGTGTGTCGTCCACAGGCATTTGATGTTCATGTGTGTGTGTGTCGTCCACAGGCATTTGATGTTCATGTGTGTGTGTGTGTCGTCCACAGGCATTTGATGTCCGTGTGTTTGAACTGCTGCTGGTAATCCCACCTGATTATCCCAAACAGGTATGTCAGCTTACCTTGTCACTTCTCTAGTCTGCTCTGTTGCTGTCTAATCTATTTTCTGTTCTATCCTGATATCTAATCTATTCTTTTCTAGCCTACTGTCTAACTATTCTCTGTTCTGTTCTATTCTATCCTACCATCTGATCTATTCTCTACTCCTTTCTGCCCAACTGAGTTCTACTATATCTTTCCAACCTGCTGTCAAATGGGCAGATAGATATAAATTGTGTGTGCATGACACTTGTGTCAGATGACAGGTAGTGTGTGAATGTTGTGGCCCAGTTGATGACCTACCAGATCTGGCTGCTTGTAGGGACCTCACTGTGGTCACTGAGAGACAAGTCACATTAAGTAGAAGAGGTTGTGGTTTGAACCTTATGACTGAGGCACAAACACAGGAAAGAAGGACCAGGAAAAGGTGTGAGGAAAGTAGGACCAGGAGAAGGTGTGAGGAAAGTAGGACCAGGAGAAGGTGTGAGTAAACTAGGACCAGGAGAAGGTGTGAGGAAGGTAGGACCAGGAGAAGGTGTGAGGAAAGTAGGACCAGGAGAAGGTGTGAGGAAAGTATGACCAGGAGAAGGTGTGAGGAAAGTATGACCAGGAGAAGGTGTGAGGAAGGTAGGACCAGGAGAAGGTGTGAGGAAAGTAGGACCAGGAGAAGGTGTGGGGAAAGTAGGACCAGTACAAAAATAGGGGACAAGTAAGTGCATGTCATCATCTGGACACTGCAGGTAGTAGTTAGGTCTTGCATCTGTACCATTACTGATATGGTGAGAAGAGTGTTGAATGTTTTAGGTCTTTCATCTGTACCATTACTGATATGGTGAGAAGAGTGTTAAATGTTTTAGGTCTTGCCTATGTACAATTACTGATATGGTGAGAAGAGTGTTAAATGTTTTAGGTCTTTCATCTGTACCATTACTGATATGGTGAGAAGAGTGTTAAATATTTTAGGTCTTGCATCTGTACCATTACTGATATGGTGAGAAGAGTGTTAAATGTTTTAGGTCTTGCCTATGTACAATTACTGATATGGTGAGAAGAGTGTTAAATATTTTAGGTCTTGCATCTGTACCATTACTGATATGGTGAGAAGAGTGTTAAATGTTTTAGGTCTTGCCTATGTACAATTACTGGTATGGTGAGAAGAGTGTTAAATATTTTAGGTCTTGCATCTGTACCATTACTGATATGGTGAGAAGAGTGTTAAATGTTTTAGGTCTTGCATCTGTACAATTACTGATATGGTGAGAAGAGTGTTAAATGTTTTAGGTCTTGCCTATGTACAATTACTGATATGGTGAGAAGAGTGTTAAATGTTTTAGGTCTTTCATCTGTACCATTACTGATATGGTGAGAAGAGTGTTAAATGTTTAGGTCTTGCCTATGTACAATTACTGATATGGTGAGAAGAGTGTTAAATGTTTTAGGTCTTGCATCTGTACCATTACTGATATGGTGAGAAGAGTGTTAAATGTTTTAGGTCTTGCATCTGTACCATTACTGATATGGTGAGAAGTGTGTTAAATGTTTTAGGTCTTGCATCTGTACAATTACTGATATGGTGAGAAGAGTGTTAAATGTTGTGCATGGTTTCACTGGGAGAATGAGCAGGCTGGCTGGCTGTATCAAAATTAACCATGTGGTGTTTAGGGTTGTGTGGCCACATGGGCACTTGTGTTGAGCATTTCTTTTATCTTATCTCTAGATGATGAAAGTTCAGCTGCCCAAGGATCAGAAACTTCCAGAAACAGTCCGCAGGTGCGTATGTCTGTCGGAGCCACATCATGTTCCTCCTCCTGCATGATGTATTTAGATGTATCCTGTGTGTTGTGGACAAGTATAATAGTCTCTTGTCATTTCTGATTGTAGCTGGTTGGGTCCTCTTTGTGTGTTTATGGGTACATGTGTGCGTGCACATGGGACATTATGATGCAGCACTCATATCTGATTGTAAGTCATTGTGGCCTTTTTGTTTGTGTGCACGAGACCTGCATCAGTCATATATGACTAGCTGATTGTGTCTTCTGTGGGTGTGCACATGGGACCTTCATCAGTCATATCTGACTAGCTGATTGTGTCTTCTGTGTGTGTGTGCACATGGGACCTGCATCAGTCATATCTGACTAGCTGTGTCTTCTGTGTGTGTGCACATGGGACCTTCATCAGTCATATCTGACTAGCTGATTGTGTCTTCTGTGTGTGTTTGTGTGCACATGGGACCTTCATCATTCATATCTGACTAGCTGATTGTGTCTTCTGTGTGTGTGTGTGTGCACATGGGACCTTCATCAGTCATATCTGACTAGCTGATTGTGTCTTCTGTGTGTGTGTGCACATGGGACCTGCATCAGTCATATCTGACTAGCTGTGTCTTCTGTGTGTATTTGTGTGCACATGGGACCTTCATCAGTCATATATGACTATCTGATTGTGTCTTCTGTGTGTGTTTGTGTGCACATGGGACCTTCATCAGTCATATATGACTATCTGATTGTGTCTTCTGTGTGTGTTTGTGTGCACATGGGACCTTCATCAGTCATATCTGACTGTAGCTGATTGTGTCTTTTGTGTGTGTTTGTGTGCACATGGGACCTTCATCAGTCATATCTGACTGTAGCTGATTGTGTCTTTTGTGTGTGTTTGTGTGCACATGGGACCTTCATCAGTCATATCTGACTGAAGCTGATTGTGTCTTCTGTGTGTGTGCACATGGGACCTTCATCAGTCATATCTGACTAGCTGTGTCTTCTGTGTGTGTTTGTGTGCACATGGGACCTTCATCAGTCATATCTGACTGTAGCTGATTGTGTATTCTGTGTGTGTTTGTGTGCACATGTGACCTTCATCAGTCATATCTGACTGTAGCTGATTGTGTCTTCTGTGTGTGTGTGTGTGCACATGTGACCTTCGTCAGTCATATCTGACTAGCTGATTGTGTCTTCTGTGTGTGTTTGTGTGCACATGGGACCTTCATCGGTCATATCTGACTGTAGCTGATTGTGTCTTCTGTGTGTGTTTGTGTGCACATGTGACCTTCATCAGTCATATCTGACTAGCTGATTGTGTCTTCTGTGTGTGTTTGTGTGCACATGGGACCTTTATCGGTCATATCTGACTGTAGCTGATTGTGTCTTCTGTGTGTGTTTGTGTGCACATGGGACCTTCATCAGTCATATCTGACTAGCTGATTGTGTCTTCTGTGTGTGTGCACATGGGACCTTCATCAGTCATATTTGACTAGCTGATTGTGTCTTCTTTGTGTGTTTGTGTGCCCATGGGACCTTCATCAGTCATATCTGACTAGCTGATTGTGTCTTCTGTGTGTGTGTGCACATGGGACCTTCATCAGTCATATCTGACTAGCTGATTGTGTCTTCTGTGTGTGTTTGTGTGCACATGGGACCTGCATCAGTCAAATCTGACTAGCTGTGTCTTCTGTGTGTGTTTGTGTGCAAATGGGACCTTCATCAGTCATATCTGACTAGCTGTGTCTTCTGTTTGTGTGCACATGGGACCTTCATCAGTCATAGCTGATTGTGTCCTCTGTGTGTTTGTGGGTGTGCATGCACAAGGGACCTGCGTCAGTCATATCTGACTGTAGCTGATTGTGCCCTCTTTATGTGTGTGCATGGGACCTGCAGGAGTCATATTTGACAGTAACTGATTGTGTCTTGTGTGTGTGTGCACGGGACCTGCAGCAGTCGTATTTGACTAGCTGATTGTGCCCTCTGTATGTGTGTGTGGGACCTGCGTCAGTCATATCTGACTAGAGAATTACTAGAGAACATGGAACATGCAGCCCCCCCCCCCCCCCCCCCCCATTGTTACATGTCAAGTGTTATATTGTAACAGCACAGTGAACTTATAACTGAGTTCACCTAAATCAATGTGTGTTTGATTGTTTGCTGTGGTGTATTTGCAGGTACATTGAGGTCAGCATCGAAGAGTGGCTGCGGCAGAAGATGGAGCAGCAAGCTGCAGACAGGATGGTGGAGCTGTTGTTTCGACCATTCTTGCTGTGGCTGGACAGAAACATTGAAGACATTACCATGGAGGCTTTGAAGCAGGTAATGTGATGTCATGGATGGTTGGCACAGGGATGTTTGTTTTTTGTCAATGTATATGGCAGGCTCAGAGGCATGGTTTATGATGTTCTCACTCTGTGTGTGCATGTATGTGTTGGAGGGGGGGGGGGCTTCGGGGCACGGTTTATGCTGTTCTCACTCTGTGTGTGCATGTATGTGTTGGAGGGGGGGGGGGGGGGCGCACGGTTTATGCTGTTCTCACTCTGTGTGTGCATGTATGTGTTGGAGGGGGGGGGGGGGGGGGGGGGGGGCGCACGGTTTATGCTGTTCTCACTCTGTGTGTGCATGTATGTGTTGGAAGGGGGGGGGGGGGCGCACGGTTTTATGCTGTTCTCACTCTGTGTGTGCATGTATGTGTTGGAAGGGGGGGGGGGGCGCGCACGGTTTATGCTGTTCTCACTCTGTGTGTGCATGTATGTGTTGGAGGGGGGGGGGGCTTCGGGGCACGGTTTATGCTGTTCTGATCAGCAACATTGATGATAATGATGGGCATACTACAGACATGACAGGTATTGAAATCGGTCACAGCCATCTCTTGCTCTGTAGCACCGTGGTTGATTTAATGAATCTGAGATGACAGAAAGTGTCGTTTTAACCTGGCACTAGCACAAAGCTCAAGCAAGTTTGGTGGAGAAACATGTCAGTTTGGTGGAGAAACATGTCAGTTTGGTGGAGAAACATGTCAGTTTGGTGGAGAAACATGTCAGTTTGGTGGAGAAACATGTCAGTTTGGTGGAGAAACATGTCAGTTTGGTGGAGAAACATGTCAGTTTGGTGGAGAAACGTGTCAGTTTGGTGGAGAAACGTGTCAGTTTGGTGGAGAAACATGTCAGTTTGGTGGAGAAACATGTCAGTTTGGTGGAGAAACGTGTCAGTTTGGTGGAGAAACATGTCAGTTTGGTGGAGAAACGTGTCAGTATGGTGGAGAAACATGTCAGTTTGGTGGAGAAACATGTCAGTTTGGTGGAGAAACATGTCAGTTTGGTGGAGAAACATGTCAGTTTGGTGGAGAAACATGTCAGTTTGGTGGAGAACAGGGCCAATCAGTTCACAGATTCTGGAAGCGATACTTTCTGAGGCAGAGCAGTTGTTGATAAAAGTGATAGTAGCAGGTTGTTTAGCAGTCCTCTTGTATGTGATGTTTGTGTGTGGGCCAAACCCGCAGATGATGTTTGTGTGTGGGCTAAGAGATGTTTGATGTTTCAATGTCTGTGAGAATTGTCCATGTGAGTTGCTGTAAACTACATGGTGGAATGTTCTAACTTTCAGTTCAAGCGGGAGCTGGTAGCTCAAGCTGCCGGCATGGAGTTCATCCCCGCCCACAAGCTTCAGGCCAGGCTGCGGTCTCACAGCGAGCACTTGTCCGAGGATGACGCACGTTCAGATGAGGACTCTGATGACTTGACTGGCAGTGACTCTGACAGTAGTCACGATGATGATGATGATGATTCTTCGGGAGAGTATGATGACACAGGGATGATACCAAAGCTAAACATTGATCCAGAAAAGAAGGGCACAGAAATAGAGCTGCGACAATTGCAGCTACGGGAAAATGCTTCCGCTCTTCTGTTTGAGAGGCTGAAACTTGTTCTGCAATGTGGCAGGTGTAAAAATCATTCCGACATCACTGTTGCGCCAGGGAAAGTGATGTCCACTCAGTGTGAGAAATGTAGCCAGAACCAGTTTGTGCATTTCCGAGCGGCACTGATTCATCAGTTCTCATCTGTGGCTGGCTACCTAGATTTAGATGGTTGCCAGGCGTTTGACCTCATCTTCCAAGACTGTCGTGTGGCTGTCACCTGTCTCAGCTGCAGTAAACAGACACGTCTAGATGTAAGTACTCGTTATGTTTTTTCTTGTGCACACAAACGCACACATATTTACACACATCTATGCATACATGCTGTAGACAGATAGACGAATGAACATGCATCTCATGCTTACCTGTAAGTTAAATCATATATAATATGATGTGTGTAACGTGTGTGTAAATGTATATATATATCTGGGAGGGTGGGCCAACCTGGTGCGCATAGCGGACAGTAGAAATTGGACAAGACAAACAGGGTGGTTTGGCAACTGGTAAACTGAGGTTTGGCATTTTCTGTATGCCATAAAATATTGGGGGAGGGGGGGGATCTCAGATGTATTCTTTATTTTATGAGTTCACCACAAAATATTGGGAGCTAGACTCAAAGGTCAGTGTTGTCTGACAGAGGCAACCACCAGTCAACCATGGCTTCCCTGTGTTGTCTGACAGCGGCAACCATGGCTTCCCTGTGTTGTTTGACAGAGGCAACCACCAGTCAACCATGGCTTCCCTGTGTTGTCTGACAGAGGCAACCACCAGTCAACCATGGCTTCCCTGTGTTGTCTGACAGAGGCAACCACCGGTCAACCATGGCTTCCCTGTGTTGTCTGACAGAGGCAACCACCAGTCAACCATGGCTTCCCTGTGTTGTCTGACAGAGGCAACCACCAGTCAACCATGGCTTCCCTGTGTTGTCTGACAGAGGCAACCACCAGTCAACCATGGCTTCCCTGTGTTGTCTGACAGAGGCAACCACCGGTCAAACCATGGCTTCCCTGTGTTGTCTGACAGAGGCAACCACCAGTCAACCATGGCTTCCCTGTGTTGTCTGACAGAGGCAACCACCAGTCAACCATGGCTTCCCTGTGTTGTCTGACAGAGGCAACCACCGGTCAACCATGGCTTCCCTGTGTTGTCTGACAGAGGCAACCACCGGTCAACCATGGCTTCCCTGTGTTTGTCTGACAGAGGCAACCACCGGTCAACCATGGCTTCCCTGTGTTGTCTGACAGAGGCAACCACCGGTCAACCATGGCTTCCCTGTGTTGTCTGACAGAGGCAACTAACTACCGGTCAACCATGGCTTCCCTGTGTTGTCTGACAGAGGCAACTACCGGTCAACCATGGCTTCCCTGTGTTGTCTGACAGAGGCAACTACCGGTCAACCATGGCTTCCCTGTGTTGTCTGACAGAGGCAACTACCGGTCAACCATGGCTTCCCTGTGTTGTCTGACAGAGGCAACCACCAGTCAACCATGGCTTCCCTGTGTTGTCTGACAGAGGCAACCACCGGTCAACCATGGCTTCCCTGTGTTGTCTGACAGAGGCAACCACCAGTCAACCATGGCTTCCCTGTGTTGTCTGACAGAGGCAACCACCAGTCAACCATGGCTTCCCTGTGTTGTCTGACAGAGGCAACCACCGGTCAACCATGGCTTCCCTGTGTTGTCTGACAGAGGCAACCACCGGTCAACCATGGCTTCCCTGTGTTGTCTGACAGAGGCAACCACCGGTCAACCATGGCTTCCCTGTGTTGTCTGACAGAGGCAACCACCGGTCAACCATGGCTTCCCTGTGTTGTCTGACAGAGGCAACCACCGGTCAACCATGGCTTCCCTGTGTTGTCTGACAGAGGCAACTACCGGTCAACCATGGCTTCCCTGTGTTGTCTGACAGAGGCAACTACCGGTCAACCATGGCTTCCCTGTGTTGTCTGACAGAGGCAACTACCGGTCAACCATGGCTTCCCTGTGTTGTCTGACAGAGGCAACTACCGGTCAACCATGGCTTCCCTGTGTTGTCTGACAGAGGCAACTACCGGTCAACCATGGCTTCCCTGTGTTGTCTGACAGAGGCAACTACCGGTCAACCATGGCTTCCCTGTGTTGTCTGACAGAGGCAACTACCGGTCAACCATGGCTTCCCTGTGTTGGTGAAGTGACTTCTCCTTCAGGCAGCATTGTGTGATTGTTCTTCCTTCACAGCCAACCAGGACTTGACCCAGTCAGCCCAGCTTTCTGTTTATGTAAATCCTAGTATGAACTTCATCATGTTATCTTGAAAGCTAAAATAATTTGGAGATGGGCAAAGGATACAAGTGACACCTTGGGTTTAAAAGTAAATGAGGTGGGAGAGCTGGTGAGAGATCTGGTTTTCTTCACGCTGACTGTGAGGAGTGTGACGGTTTGCAGAGGTGAGAGATCTGGTTTTCTTCACGCTGACTGTGAGGAGTGTGACGGTTTGCAGAGGTGAGAGATCTGGTTTTCTTCACGCTGACTGTGAGGAGTGTGACGGTTTGCAGAGGTGAGAGATCTGGTTTTCTTCACGCTGACTGTGAGGAGTGTGACGGTTTGCAGAGGTGAGAGATCTGGTTTTCTTCACGCTGACTGTGAGGAGTGTGACGGTTTGCAGAGGTGAGAGATCTGGTTTTCTTCACGCTGACTGTGAGGAGTGTGACGGTTTGCAGAGGTGAGAGATCTGGTTTTCTTCACGCTAACTGTGAGGAGTGTGACAGTTTGCAGAGGTGAGAGATCTGGTTTTCCTTACGCTGACTGTGAGGAGTGTGACAGTTTGCAGAGGTGAGAGATCTGGTTTTCTTTACGCTGACTGTGAGGAGTGTGACAGTTTGCAGAGGATCTGCTGCATGATGATAATGCCCTTCATCTCCCTCCACCACAGACTTTATGTGAGTGAGAAGTGAACCTGTCAGTGACCTGACTGATGGCTGTGACAACTAATCTGACATTTTTCTACGTCTGACTTGCAGGGCCTGGTGTCTGGACATATGGTGGATGGTTGGTGTCAGGCCTGTAACGCTCGCTTTAAACTGGCCACCGAAGCAGTCAAGTTTGTTCAGCTCGCCCCATCCACTGTGGACACAGGTGAGTGTCATCTGTCACTGAGGTGTGTGTATGTGGTCACATATGTGAGAAACTGGTAGTTATACATCACTGAGGTGTATGTATGTGGTCACATATGTGAGAAACTGGTAGTTATACATCACTGAGGTGTGTGTATGTGGTCACATATGTGAGAAACTGGTAGTTATACATCACTAAGGTGTGTGTATGTGGTCACATATGTGAGAAACAGGTAGTTATACATCACTGAGGTGTGTGTATGTGGTCACATATGTGAGAAACTGGTAGTTATACATCACTGAGGTGTATGTATGTGGTCACATATGTGAGAAACTGGTAGTTATACATCACTGAGGTGTGTGTATGTGGTCACATATGTGAGAAACTGGTAGTTATACATCACTGAGGTGTATGTATGTGGTCACGTATGTGAGAAACTGGTAGTTATACATCACTGAGGTGTGTGTATGTGGTCACGTATGTGAGAAACTGGTAGTTATACATCACTGAGGTGTGTGTATGTGGTCACATATGTGAGAAACTGGTAGTTATACATCACTGAGGTGTGTGTATGTGGTCACATATGTGAGAAACTGGTAGTTATACATCACTGAGGTGTGTGTATGTGGTCACATATGTGAGAAACAGGTAGTTATACATCACTGAGGTGTGTGTATGTGGTCACATATGTGAGAAACAGGTAGTTATACATCACTGAGGTGTGTGTATGTGGTCACGTATGTGAGAAACTGGTAGTTATACATCACTGAGGTGTGTGGATAGTTTCTGACTGACAAAAATTAATAGTAGTGACTGCATATCTGGATCTGTGTGACTTTGGTATGTGAATATGTGTAACACTGGTATGTGAATGTGTGTAACACTGGTATGTGAATGTGTGTAACACTGGTATGTGAATGTGTGTAACACTGGTATGTGAATGTGTGTAACACTGGTATGTAAATGTATAATACTGGTATGTGAATGTGTGTAACTTTGGTATGTGAAGGTATGACACTGGTATGTGAATGTGTGTAACACTGTCAATGTGTGTAACACTGGTATGTAAATGTATGACACTGGTATGTGAATGTGTGTAAGACTGGTATGTGAATGTGTATAACACTCGTATGTGAATGTGTCTAACACTGGTATGTGAAGGTATGTCACTGGTATGTGAAGCTATGACACTGGTATGTGAATGTGTGTAACACTGGTATGTGAATGTGTGTAACACTGGTATGTGACGGTATGATGCTGGTATGTGAATGTGTGCAACACTGGTATGTGAAGATATGATGCTGGTATGTGAATGTGTGTAACACTGGTATGTGAAGGTATGTCACTGGTATGTGAATGTGTGTAACACTGGTATGTGAATGTGTGCAACACTGGTATGTGACGGTATGATGCTGGTATGTGAATGTGTGCATCCATACTGTAGCTGGGATACACGTGGCTAGTGCAGTGTTGGCACTTCTGGCAATGAGTTTTTTTCTTGAACACCCAGGTGCAGTAATGTCAGTTCTTCATTTATTTAATTTCTAGAAAGATCTAGGACAGCGGGTTTTTTTTAATGACCCTTTCACAGGGGTGGCCTTGGACCAATGGACAACACATATTGACTGAAGTTATGAAGTATCAACGAAAATAATTGTATGGTTGGGGGGGTCAGCATTGCACGAGGAACTGTATTAAAGGGTCGCAGCATTAGAAAGGTTGAGAACAACTGATGTAGAAAATCCATAGGCTATTGTCTGTTGTAGACTTCCTGCACAGAACAGAATACACCATTTGTGTAGCCATTAATGATCATTATTTCTTGAGAGGTCATAGATGGAATATGGGATAAGCCCTTTTTGGATTGGCATTTAGTATGCGACTCTTTGAGTCACAGAGGTGTAAAACTTGTGAGAGGAGCAAAACAGTCAGTTTCCTGTCTTACAGTCGCACACAACTTGCCTACTTTATTTTGCATACATAGTGCCACTTGTTCATCCTCTTGATTCTGTATTTCCTGTCTTCTGTAACAGTCGCACACAACTTGCCTACCTTATTTTGCTTACTTGCTTACATAGAGTCACTTGTTCATCCTCTTGATTCTTTGTTTCCTTCTGTAATAGTCGCACACAACTTGCCTACCTTATTTTGCTTACTTGCTTACATAGAGTCACTTGTTCATCCTCTTGATTCTTTGTTTCCTTCTGTAATAGTCGCACACAACTTGCCTACCTTATTTTGCTTACTTGCATACACAGAGCCACTTGTTCATCCTCTTGATTCTCTGTTTGCTGTCCAGCTGCAGGTCGAGTGGTGGAGGTTGGGACCAGCAGACAGAAGAAAGCAGCCAAGGATCCAGCTATCAGAGAGGGCTATCCCCTGCCAGAATTTGGTACCTGCAAGCACTACAAGCACAGTTACCGCTGGTTGAGGTTCCCCTGCTGCGGCAAGGCTTACCCCTGTGACGTCTGTCATGACAAGAAAGAAGACCACGAGATGGTCTATGCCACAAGGATGATCTGTGGACACTGTTGCAGGGAGCAGGTATGCCCGTCCAGCATGACTCCTGTTGTTAACAGTGTTGTCATTGTCCTGTCTTTATTAATATCATTTTAGTTCTATTATTGTCACCTCTGTATTTCAGTATCTGCCAGGCTGATTTTGTTATTTAGAATCATCATTGTGTCACCTCGATTGGGTGTCACCGTTGGCAGTTTCCAGTCATTATTCCTGGCACTGGCTTCAAATTCCAGTATAAGAGCAGGAGTTTTGGCATAGACTGTATAACTAATGATATTATTCATCCCGCTGCTCTCTTTGGTAGTGAGATGAGATATCTAGCCATCTGAGACCAGGGCAGGGACAAGTTGATCCCGCTGCTCTCTTTGGTAGTGAGATGAGATATCTAGCCATCTGAGACCAGGGCAGGGACAAGTTGATCCTGTGTGCAAGTTACTAAATGTTGGCTGTAAAGTATTATTAACAGTATTATTAGAATATCAATTGATCAGTTAGACAGGTACTGTTTGGGACTTTCTGAAGGTTTTGTGTGGGTTGCTTGTGTGTTGTCTAATGCCGACTGTTGTGTCCACTGATGGTCTGTTCTGTTTGTATCCTGTGGTAGTCACAGCTCATCTGTGTGTGCTTTGATTACATATTGTCTAGACTTGTGTTACAGACTGTGCTGAGCTTTGATGTCAAGAATTGCTACTCTCTTTATATCTAACTGTACATGTTTTCTGGTTGCCTCCAGAACTTCTCTGCCAGCAGACCGTGCAGTGCTTGTGGCCAGCACTTGACCAAGATCAGAACTGCCCACTGGGAGGGTGGCAGCGGGTGTCGGGACAAGGTCTCCATGAGCAAGAGTGATCAGCAGAAATACAAAAACATGAACAAAACCTTGTCCAATCGGCAGAAACAACGACAGGCCACCACCCAGAAGAAGGTCACCAAACTGAGGCATGCCTAAATGCTCCAGTGACATTGTCATGCAACTTGTTTTCTCTACCTTGACTTTATTCTTGTTTCATTTGTTTTCTACAATTGTTGTGTGTGTTTTACTGTTATATGTTACTGTGACTGTCTGTGTGCATAGATGTTGTGTCTGTGTGATACTATTTGTTGGGCAGGCTGTCTGATGTCCTGTCAGTTTGGGCAGCCATTTTTGTTGTGCCTATACTTAGACAGATGCTTGTGGCTTAAAATAGTGGATATTTATTATATCTGCATTCCATATATTGGCTGAAAACATCACTAACATCTCTGACATGATTGAATGAAGATATTGACTAAAGACTTTACTGACTAAAGATATCACTGAATGAAGACATCACTAACTGAAGCATCACTGACTGAAGACATCATTGACTGTATACATCACTGACTGAAGACATCACTGACTGAAGACATCACTAACTGAAGACATCATTGACTGTAGATATCACTAACTGAAGCATCACTGACTGAAGACATCATTGACTGAAGACATCATTGACTGTAGACATCACTGATTGAAGACATCACATCATTGACTGAAGACATCACTGATTGAAGACATCACATCATTGATTGAAGACATCACATCACTGATTGAAGACATCACATCATTGACCGAAGACATCACTGATTAAAGACATCACTGACTGTAAACATCACTAACTGAAGCATCACTGACTGAAGACATCACTAACTGAAGACATCATTGACTGAAGACATAATAACTGATTGAAGACATCACATCATTGACTGAAGACATCACTGACTGAAGACATCACTGACTGAAGACATCATTGACTGAAGACATCATTGACTGAAGACATCACTGACTTAAGACATCGCTGACTGAAGAATCACTGACTGAAGACATCACTGACTGAAGATATCACTGACTGAAGACATCACTGACTGAAGATATCACTAACTGAAGACATCATTGACTGAAGACATCGCTGACTGAAGACATCACTGACTGAAGATATCACTAAGTCACAGTGTGACTACAGCTGATGTTCTTATCTAGGCTTCGTGATACCATGACTGAAGGTCCATGTTTATACAGTGATCCGTGTCCTTGATCTGCCAGGGGTGAGCCAGTGTTCAACTCTTGCTAGTGACAGCATGACCCCTCAACCTTGCCTTATACAGCAGGTGTCAGAGACTGATAACTGAGATGACCAGAACTGGCCACAGGCCTGCTTCCATGTTGTTTCCTCACCAGAAACAGCCAGGACCAAACACTTCAGCTGTGTCATACCTTCATGTTTGACCCACTCACTTCATGTTGTTTCCTCACCAGAAACAGCCAGGACCAAACACTTCAGCTGTGTCCTACCTTTATGTTTGACCCACTCACTTCATGTTTTGTTGTAGCACTGTATGCTTGAAATCAGAATGCACATGTGTCATTTGTTTCATGTATTTATTTCTGTATTATCCAGATATATATTTTTATATTTCTCTACTTTTGTTAGCAAATAACACGAAAGGAAAGAATGATAGTTTGACTATCCCATGTCACCTTGCCCCTAGCACCCAGCGATCGTGTGCTTCTGCTGGAAGATTACCCTTGGCTCTTGAGCATCAAGTCATTCTCTGTCTGTCCTGGTGGAATCCTTCTCTACTCTGCTGTTTTCTGTGTCCAGCCTGCAGCAGGTGGCCGTGAGGACAAACCCACAGTGTGGAGTGACGTAACAGATGAGTGGGAGGGACAGGGGACCCAACTCTCTCTATGAAGCTAGACCTAAAACAGAAACCAGAATATAATTATCCAGTTGTTAACACAACATGCTGGAATAATTAGCCCCGAATCACACTAGTTCAGTCATTATGTCCCACTTCACATCAGTTCTGTCACTGACTTGCAGCTCTGTCATCATAAGGAATCGGTGACCTTCAAGTGCCTTGCATGTTTATCTGCCAGGAAAAGCTAGCACAGTAGTTTGCAACTCGTATAGATTCATAGAACAGCTGCCAATGAGCCAGGCCCTTGTAATGTGGCACAGATTTGTCCTGGGCAGACAGCTGCCAAGGAGCCAGCAGATTATTGCAGTCTGTACCTGACTGATCCCAGTCCTTGTTGGTTGATTTCATCTGTGCAAGCTTCATTATCCATCCTCATTCTTATGTTGATTGTTGTACTGAAAGCCTGTCACATGTTGATTGTTGCACTGAAAGCCTGTCTCATGTTGATTGTTGCACTGAAAGCCTGATCTCAATAAATGTCAGATTGTTGCCAGTTTCTGGTTAGTACTGACTGTGTGTATGTATATGTGTGTGTGTGAGAGAGAGAAAGAGTATGTGTGTCTTAAGCAGTTAACAATATATATAAAACCATAGCAGCCAGTGTCTGAAAAGGGGAGAAACAATGAGTCCATTGCTGCCTGTCTGTCTGTCCACACTTGTAGATGGTTTGTAGGTCCATTGCTGCCTGTCTGTCCACACTTGTAGATGGTTTGTGGGTCCATTGCTGCTTGTCTGTCCACACTTGTAGATGGTTTGTGGGTCCATTGCTGCCTGTCTGTCCACACTTGTGTATGGTTTGTGGGTCCATTGCTGCCTGTCTGTCCACACTTGTAGTTGGTTTGTGGGTCCATTGCTGCCTGTCTGTCCACACTTGTAGATGGTTTGTGGGTCCATTGCTGCCTGTCTGTCCACACTTATGTATGGTTTGTAGGTCCATTGCTGCCTGTCTGTCCACACTTGTGTATGGTTTGTAAGTCCATTGCTGCCTGTCTGACCACACTTGTAGATGGTTTGGGGGTCCATTGCTGCCTGTCTGTCCACACTTGTGTATGGTTTGTAGGTCCATTGCTGCCTGTCTGACCACACTTGTAGATGGTTTGGGGGTCCATTGCTGCCTGTCTGTCCACACTTGTAGATGGTTTGTGGGTCTATTGCTGCCTGTCTGTCCACACTTGTAGATGGTTTGTGGGTCCATTGCTGCCTGTCTGTCCACACTTGTAGATGTTTTGTAGGTCCATTGCTGCCTGTCTGTCCACACTTGTAGATGGTTTGTAGGTCCATTGCTGCCTGTCTGTCCACACTTGTAGATAGTTTGTAGGTCCATTGCTGCTTGTCTGTCCACACTTGTAGATGGTTTGTAGGTCCATTGCTGCCTGTCTGTCCACACTTGTAGATGGTTTGTAGGTCCATTGCTGCCTGTCTGTCCACACTTGTAGATGTTTTGTAGGTCCATTGCTGCTTGTCTGTCCACATTTGTAGATGGTTTGTAGGTCCATTGCTGCTTGTCTGTCCACACTTGTAGATGGTTTGTGGGTCCATTGCTGCCTGTCTATCCACACTTGTAGATGGTTTGTAGGTCCATTGCTGCCTGTCTGTTCACACTTGTAGATGGTTTGTAGGTCCATTGCTGCCTGTCTGTCCACACTTGTGTATGGTTTGTAGGTAAATTTCTGCCTGTCTGACCACACTTGTATATGGTTTGTAGGTCCATTGCTGCCTGTCTGTCCACACTTGTGTATGGTTTGTAAGTCTATTGCTGCCTGTCTGACCACACTTGTAGATGGTTTGGGGGTCCATTGCTGCCTGTCTGTCCACACTTGTGTATGGTTTGTAGGTCCATTGCTGCCTGTCTGACCACACTTGTAGATGGTTTGTAGGTCCATTGCTGCCTGTCTGACCACACTTGTAGATGGTTTGTAGGTCCATTGCTGCCTGTCTGTCCACACTTGTAGATGGTTTGTAGGTCCATTGCTGCCTGTCTGTCCACACTTGTAGATGGTTTGTAGGTCCATTGCTGCCTGTCTGTCCACACTTGTAGATGGTTTGTAGGTCCATTGCTGCCTGTCTGTCCACACTTATGTATGGTTTGTAGGTCCATTGCTGCCTGTCTGTCCACACTTGTAGATGGTTTGTAGGTCCATTGCTGCCTGTCTGTCCACACTTGTAGATGTTTTGTAGGTCCATTGCTGCTTGTCTGTCCACACTTGTAGATGGTTTGTAGGTCCATTGCTGCCTGTCTGACCACACTTGTAGATGGTTTGTAGGTCCATTGCTGCCTGTCTGTCCACACTTGTAGATGGTTTGGAGGTCCATTGCTGCCTGTCTGACCACACTTGTAGATGGTTTGTAGGTCCATTGCTGCCTGTCTGTCCACACTTGTAGATGGTTTGTAGGTCCATTGCTGCCTGTCTGTCCACACTTGTAGATGGTTTGTAGGTCCATTGCTGCCTGTCTGACCACACTTGTAGATGGTTTGTAGGTCCATTGCTGCCTGTCTGACCACACTTGTAGATGGTTTGTAGGTCCATTGCTGCCTGTCTGTCCACACTTGTAGATGGTTTGTAGGTCCATTGCTGCCTGTCTGTCCACACTTGTAGATGGTTTGTAGGTCCATTGCTGCCTGTCTGTCCACACTTGTAGATGGTTTGTAGGTCCATTGCTGCCTGTCTGTCCACACTTATGTATGGTTTGTAGGTCCATTGCTGCCTGTCTGTCCACACTTGTAGATGGTTTGTAGGTCCATTGCTGCCTGTCTGTCCACACTTATGTATGGTTTGTGGGTCCATTGCTGCCTGTCTGTCCACACTTGTAGATGGTTTGTAGGTCCATTGCTGCTTGTCTGTCCACACTTGTGTATGGTTTGTGGGTCCATTGCTGCTTGTCTGTCCACACTTGTGTATGGTTTGTAGGTCCATTGCTGCCTGTCTGTCCACACTTATGTATGGTTTGTAGGTCCATTGCTGCCTGTCTGTCCACACTTGTGTATGGTTTGTGGGTCCATTGCTGCTTGTCTGTCCACACTTGTGTATGGTTTGTAGGTCCATTGCTGCCTGTCTGTCCACACTTGTAGATGGTTTGTGGGTCCATTGCTGCCTGTCTGTTCACACTTATGTATGGTTTGTAGGTCCATTGCTGCTTGTCTGTCCACACTTGTAGATGGTTTGTAGGTCCATTGCTGCTTGTCTGTCCACACTTGTGTATGGTTTGTGGGTCCATTGCTGCCTGTCT